AATATCAATTCCAACATGTCGGCTCCTGCCATTACAGTTTTTTAAGGCTAAAGTCACCTGAACGAAATTTGCTGAATCATCATTGACACTTTCAATAAACTTTTTTGATATTCTTTGTGGCTACAGAGGCGTTGTTTCCCTTCTTGTATTCATTACATGCCGAATATGTGTCTCGTCGTGTGCCATCACTATAAGGGATTAGAGTATACTAAACTTTATACATCCTATAGGCTACACTAACGTGACGTTTAGGTGGTTCATTTAACTATTTACGTGATGTACGTTTTTTGGGTGGTGGTTAATGAAAGTGTTTCAAAACGCGACATTGATTTCTTGACGACCTAATATTATCGATATATCGGTGATGTTTTTAGTGTAGCTAAATGCATTAATGATGAACTCGATCATTTTTTAAATTCATTAAGTTTTCCACCCATAACTCTAATAAATGCCTTTTATTTCACATCAGTCTATGTCATATCTTTACATAAATATTTCCGTGACAGATTACAAACTGACGGACATACACATAAGTACATACGTTTCTACTCCAATTATCCTTCGTTAGTCAACAGAAACATATCCAAATGACAAGTCACCAGATTACGTAGGTTCTGCTTGACGAATATCGTAATAAACCTATCTAGATTTCTGTTTTATTCGTGGCTACCTTGGTAGTCTTTGTCGCCATGCTAAAGAAAACACATACACACAACAAACGTTCAAATTCACACACTTACTTACACTGTTCATAAACGCATTCGCCTTACACTTGTGTACCACCCAGTCAACACACAGATAACTTGTTTATTGCTTGACAACTTTAACGTAATAACACAGGGCAGAACCATCAGTCACATGTTTAATAATAAACGTACAATTTCTTGTAAACACGACAATAACATTAAAGATTTACCTACCCAGAGTCAACTTCCGAACAACATACAACCATCATGTCATACTGAAATTGTTACGTACAATTATCAGAGGAATGGATGCAACACTTAATCTTACATTGATAATAGAACACGAGTTAAGGGTCTATTCTCTTTATAGTTATTTCAGCTGTACATTTAAATGTTTAATTTGTTGTTTTGCTTGTGGCAACTGCTATCAAGTCTACCATGTAAAAACTAGCCTATTCTCGCTAAACGCACTCGAGAACACTTACATAGCACTTCGATTAAAGATCAAAATAAGTCTGTAGCTCGACATTTCAACAAAGCTGGTCATTCCAATAAGTATTATAAGTAATTGATCAACGACATGGCTTCTCTATAATCAATTAAAGAACTAGAATCAGAAAATAATCAATTTTGAAATTAGGTTGTAGAAGTCATAAGTCCGTTTTGTATTAACGAACGGTTCAGCTTTTTTTAGTGTGTTTAAAAATTCAAGGTATTATTTTTCAGTTTTTGTAAACTTGTACATATTAGTTGTTTTTATAACTTTTCTTAATCACTTTTATTTCCTTATTTCTAATTATTATCTCATCACTATTTTCTGTAGCTTTGTTACATTGTCATTACTGTATTGTATAATTATCATGTTTCTGTCTTGCGTTTCTTTTCTCGTGTATTTTATCCCTTTCTTCGGAATGATCATCAGTAATTTGTCATTAACCTACAAGCTTCGTTTGGCTTGAAAAAGAGTGTTATTAGAAACTTCGCTAAGAAAATAAAATATACAACTAATGGTTTTTTTAAGGTGATTTATCTCTAAAAGTGTAACTTCTTTATTTTGTCACCTTTCCATTTTTCTGTTCCTTCATTTATGTATTTTACCTAGACATACTTCTTGATACTAGTGGTAGAGTACAGCTCTGTAAATATCACAAAACGTTTTATCTAGAAACACATTTTTGATTCTGCTGTTGGATCATAAATTTGTACAGTATATAGTTACACAGAGACATTTCTGCAGTGGATTACAGTTCTTTACAGTATATAGTTACACAGAGACATTTCTGCAGTGGATTACAGTTCTTTACAGTATATAGTTACACAGAGACATTTCTGCATTGGGTTACAGTTCTGTACAGTATGTAGTTATGTGGAGACATTTATGCAGTGGATTACAGTTCTTTACAGTATATAGTTACGTGGAGACATATCTGCATTGGGTTACAGTTCTATATAAGAAACATAGTTGTCTGGAAGCTATTCTGTAGTTCTGATGGTGGGTTACAGTTCTGTACAGTATGTAGTTATGTGGAGACATTTATGCAGTGGATTACAGTTCTTTACAGTATATAGTTACGTGGAGACATTTATGCAGTGGATTACAGTTCTATATAAGAAACATAGTTGTCTGGAAGCTGTTCTGTAGTTCTGATGGTGGGTTACAGTTCTGTACAGTATGTAGTTATGTGGAGACATTTATGCAGTGGATTACAGTTCTATATAAGAAACATAGTTGTCTGGAAGCTGTTCTGTAGTTCTGATGGTGGGTTACAGTTCTGTACAGTATATGGTTATGTGGAGACATTTAGGGAGTGGATTACAGTTCTATATAAGAAACATAGTTGTCTGGAAGCTGTTCTGTAG